CAGTGACAGGTACACAACTGGAATATTCTTTGCGAGGAAACATTAGAAATATTCTTTCCAACCGGCTAAGTGGCTAAAAATACTTGCGCTTGATTATACAACAGAGCCCCGTTACAGCACTCCAGTTGGAAGTCCATAAAATCTCAAACAATGTTGTCATAGGGCATGATTACTGGTCAGTGCTTGCACATTCACTGCGCAAAGCTGCAGAAAGCCAGCTTGCTCCAAAATGGGCAGCGTCTCTGAGGCTTTACCCTGCTTGAAGTGCGCAATATAAATGCAAGTGGTTCTTGTTGTTGGAAGGGATCTCAATGGCTCGTGTAAGAACTCTGGGTCCACCCTCTGTGCTGGCTTTCAGAGGTAAAAGCCACATCCCAATCCTCCACCCAGCGATTTATTTCTAACCCGGCCAGCGCTAATTGCATGCAACGTCCAGCCTCTCACTGTAAATGTTATTCGGGAATCTTTCCTTCAATCAGCTAAATCGAAAGGTTGATCATAAAACATGTTCTGCTGAAAACGTTAACAAATCACACGTTCAGTGAAGGAGTCACTCGCTTACGAAAACAATTACGAGCGTCAAACTGAAACCACAAAGCTCTCGTTATTCTCATAGAACAGTATCCCTGGGTTTGCCTACAAATACACAGTCACTTCACTTAAGAATAAATCCTCTGAGACACCAACTTGTGAAAGGTCCTCTTTAATGTCTCGTTCGAAATTACAGTTTCTAGACAATTACCATTCAATAGTTCGTGAGCATTAACTCTCTCTGGTCATCTTTTTGCACGAGTAAAATAAATATGTCGCAATGGAAAGTCGATGGCAATCTGTTTAGTCAAGGCTGAAGGAGGCAGGAGGGGGGAACAGGGAGGGGGAAGGAATCTAGTTAATTCTAGTAACCTTAACCAGGGCTAAACTGTACAATTAGCTTACCGCAGCTGGTTATGGATAATGTGCAAAGCTACTGAATGATTTATCCTTTGTTAACAACTGCAGTTTTACCCAACACAGTGCCCCTTCCCAGACACAATCCAGATCTTGCTACTCCCATCAATCACTCGTAATTAACGGGCGAGATAACGGATACCAGGCAGGTATCGCAAGTGCGAGAAACGACTTTCCTGTAGTTAGCTCACTGTCTAACAATCTGCTGCCACATTTTATTTTTATTTTCGATTTTGAACTTGAATGGAGACGGAACCGTCATCTGCTTGAAGATCAGCAGAAATACTCCGTTCATTCCCCCCCCCACCACCCACCCCCACCCCCGCCCCTCCCGTTGGCCACAGCTTCTCTGAATGGCAAACAAAAGATTAGATTCCAATTGTAGTTCAACCAAAATGATTCAATCTTTACTCGCTCCAGCCTCATGCAAGTGGGTCTCATACCAATGGCTATAAATTAGTCTCTTTGGCAACAGACTTGTGACATTATCCCAGTGCCAGCCAATGCTTTCTCCCCCCACCCCTCCACCAACAGTTGTTGCAGCCCACACACATGCCCTGCTGTCTGCTCCCATTGTTAATTTAAAATACACGTATATTAAACTGTTGTCAGTATGCGCACCTCCAATACAAGGGTGGTAGAACACTGATTTATTTGAGGGTGGAGCCTGGATTACGGGTCAAGTCTTGTCGTAAGCAAGACTTTGTGGCTATCTCTGGGACAGCCACGCAATCCTCCGAACGCCACTCTCTCTGCTTTCTTTCTTAAAACGAGAAGATGATGTAAAGCAGCTGAAAGGCCAGGCAGCTTCTATTTCCCAGTTGCCCTTGAAGATGAGAACATCAACTGGATACTCACATCCCTGAATATGTATTAGTGTACTACAAGCAGGGAGTTGATGTGACTGCTGATATTCCAATTAAAGTAATTACTAAAGCTAGGATTGCTGCAGGTTTTGGGGAACACGCGCAATACAAAATTGTCAACAATATGCAATACGTTTGATGTAGTGCGGCACATTATCACAGGGAGCCGTCTTGAAGAGCTTTGTAGAATTTTCTGTGAAGCGTAGTGGATTCTGCATTTGTAGGTCAATGACACACCCAATTGGAGCAACACAATAGCCCACAGACAGACATAAGGCGGATAACTAATTGTTTGTTATCTGGAGAGATGTGGTTCAGGACACTAAGAGAATTTCCATCCTCTTCAAATATCCAACAGGCAGACAGGATTGCTGTTTAGTGTTCTACCCAAAGGATGGCACCTCTTCTAACCCCAGCACTACACTAGAGCGACAGCCTAGACTTGAGCTCAAAGTCCCAACGTGGGGTAGAACCCCTAACCTTTTGACTCAAGAGGTGCGAGAGAGAGTGCTCTCAATCGAGCCAGGCTGACACCTAATATGGTGGACTAAATAGGCAACAATTAACAAATAAATACAATTCGAGTGTTTGACGTTTGCAGAACAAAGGTCACTCCCAAAGCTACTTTCTCCTTACATTATTTGAACAGCTCAACACGTCACCGTGACACTGAACCAACTGAGCAGCATGACGCACATTCATTTTGTAGTGAATAAGACCAGCTGTGTGAAGTCAGCTCTCTGGACATCCACCCCTATGGACAGAACCAGCAGCTATAAATAATAATAATAATAATAATCCTTGCACTTGATATAGCGCATTTTCACGTTTTCTAGACATTTCAAAGCGCTTCACAGGATATCCTGTAAAGTGAATTTACTGTATATTTGTGGGCGAAACGCGGCAGCCAATTGCGCACAGCAGAGTCCCCACAAACAGCGGTGGATTGAAGTGACTAATTTTATTGTTTTGTTTTTTCTTGAGGGATTTTAGTGGAGTAAGGAAACTTGCCCAAGGTTTCGCCCTGTAGGGAATCAATCCCAGGTCTCTCACTTGCAAGGCGAGTGCTCTAACCACTGAGCTACAGGACTCGAAACCCTACAAATCCTGTCCACCTTGTTCACTCTGCTCCCCAATCTTACCCTTATCCTTCTACATTTTCGCCCACAAAATATAAGTCACTACACTTCACAGTATACTGTCACGTCTGTAAGACTTGATAAAGAGCTATATCAAATACAAGGATTGTTATCGTATTTATTATTATTGCATTTCTGTAGAGAATTCTTTTTATGGTGGTCTTAAATTTGTCACCTCTCATTACAGACTCGACGACCAGTGGGAATAATCTATTACTATTTACCCCCATCACATGCCTTCATGATCTTGACAACCTCGATCATGGCCTCCTCGATTTCAGTGTGTGTGTGTGTGTGTGTGCGTGCGAGTGGGAGGGAGGGTATTGAAGCTCCGAGCTGCCAAGTCACAGTGACAAATGTCTTCAAAAGACATTGATGCATTGGAGAGGATCCACAATCAGACCCTGGTGACTCCAGGAGCTAACGTTTTGAGTTGTGAAGAGAAGCAACAAAGGCAACAGTCAAAGCCAGTTCAGAGATTCCTCCTCTCAGTGCTGCTTGCTGGTGCGACAGGAAATTATAAGAATATTTTACATTTTCTTCTGAACTTTATGGCCTGCTAAAAGCAGCTGCAATTTATCGAAGTCCTGATGAGAGGCAGGAACCTTCCTGGGAACAATCATTCCACCAATTGACTTTGCAATATAAAGCTCCTTCCTTCTGCACAGATAATTGATTTTTAAGTCGCTTGCTAATTTCAGCGGGCTTTGTAAAATAAACACTACGTGGCTATCGATCCTGGCAAACAAGGAAGGGCAGCAGGCGTAGATGGATTTAGTGCATCGAACGTTTAAAACATTTTTTTTTACTCTCCAGCTCACAAATAAACTTGAGAAGCAGATACAAATGAAACATCGCATTTGCCTTGCTCGTGCATTTTTTCTAAAAAAAAGCAAACGGGAAACACATAATGCACCATTTGTAGCCAGCGTCAACGGAAAACGCTAGCTAGTCCGCATTTTAAATGGATTCCATTAGTATTGTCTGCACACTGGTAATCAACCATCTGAATCCTAATTAAGAGCTTGGCAGCAGGCGCTAACTGCATCCCCGTGCAATAAGTTGTGGTGCACCGCAGTGAACTTTGCCTTGAGCTAGCATGCATAAATAAACAGAATTAATAACTATCTTGAGTGTGGACGGGTGACTTAATCTGTTTCGATTAGCTGCAGCTCTACCTGGGAGGCGGGGTGCAGGGTGGTGGTGGTGGTTGGGGGGGGGGGGGGGGGAAAGGGGGGGCGGGCGGTGAACAGCATTATATAAAACGCGCTCATCATGTTTAATTAAAAAGCTAATAAACTCTTTTTAATGTTTTTTCTGCCGGGCACTGGACTGATTGCAGCTGGAAGCAGTGGCCAACTCCCTCCCTCCCCCACCCACCCCACCCCCTCTCCCGTCCTCCCCCCCCACCCCCATAGTAGGACTGCACCGAACACTGACTAATTCATGAAAACTTAATGTGCAGCGATGATTAGTAATGTACTAATGTTCTCTTTACTTTCAGCTCCATGGGCGGCCAAATTATACCGCGATTTTAATAAATCTACAAGACGAGCCTTCATTTTCGTTTTTTTTTTAAAATGGCAATAAAAAAAGCAAAATTGCTGGATGGACAGGGTCTGGCGGGTGGAGATTTCTAATAGGATTCCACAATAGGGGCGTCATATGCCTACTACGCATATGGCATTTCTCCTGGGGATATAGGGAAGAGAGAGGGAAGAAGACGAGGAGGAAAGCAAAAAAAAAAATCAGGGTTTCGCGCCGTCGATCGCCAGTCATTGACCTGGTTTAAAAAAAACAACTCTCTTGTCAGGTCACATCAGGACAGGATTCAGTTCAGCCATAATCGAAAACATGCCAACTCTCACTTCTCAGCTCGGGACGTGTAAGAACGTGTACGTGGGCAATACTTCAGAGGGAGACGTCTCGAAGGCGTGGTAAGGCGCAGTATCAAATGCAAGGATTATTATTATTAACCAATATGTGTAAATTAACGAAAAGGGGGAGTAAACGGCACACTGCTCTGAACAACAGGAAACTACTCACATTCCAGGCAAGATAGGGATTTAATGTAATTCACCCTCCAGCTATTCACGAAAAAAACGAACGAACAATTTTATACCTCCAAATTGCCATCATCTTTGAAAGACCTTTTAAGCCCTTGGTATTTTCAGTCGGAAAAAAAAAACTAAAATGCAAATAAAACAGTTTGAAAGTCCCTGGGAAGTCTGACGGTCAAAAATGATTTGAAAACAAAATGTGCAGCGACTTCGAACAATGTAGAACAATGGCGTGGCACGTTCTGTAAATCTTCCTTTGAGATAAGAACAGTTCATTTTGTACATCTCTGGCAATAGTTGTGCTACCAGGTGCAGAATTGCCTTGTAAACAGGATGCAGCTGTCCAGAAGATTGCAAGCCGCTGCAACATGATAAGACCAGACACACTCGAATATAGAAAGCATCGTTCGAATCGTCACTTCATACACATGGTCACCAGCATCTCAGCCGTGTTTGGAAGCTATATTTATACCCCAGCTTTATAAATCATAGCTAAGGCAGGGAGATTAAAAGACGTTCGAAGTATTCCAGAAATTCTATTCAGAGGGCCAGCATCCATTTTGCAGCTAGAGTGAATCGACGCCATTGAGAACTAGATCAAATCTGTATTGTTTTCTGCGGAGTTCAGCTCGACATTCTCATTGCGCTCAAATTACCTCGTGTGTAGATATGCTGCGCGCGCAGTTTGTGTGTGTATTTCTGTGCGCGTGCGTATGTATGAGTGCGCGAGTGTTTTTTTCTGGTCAGCCGGACATCTGTGACGTACAAAAACCCACCAACACGCTTAAGAAGATCCAAACCACACAGCCTAAGCATTGAAATTTCCACGCTCTGGAAGGGAGAGTGCACTCTCTTCTCTCCCTCCCTGGGTAGGGGTGCACTCTGCTTCCCTGACCGCAGAATGTGAGGTGCAAGAGTAGCAACAACCCATGTGTCTGGGGCTCCAGAGTGTGGGGGGGGGGTGGGGGAGAGGGGGGGAAATTGCTGAACTAGCTCAATACCGTGTTGCTCGCCGTTCAGAACACTGTCTGACAAGCTTCCTGACGCTTGTCTTCCTGGAACCACCCCGCTCGTTAGGGTGCTTTGGCTTGCAGTGTTAACAGGAGCAGAATGGGAAGAATCCTTCAAGTCCTGCTGACAAGGCAAACCTGACTGGTCTGTCAGCAGCATTGCCTTGGGGCAATGAGGACCCGAATGACTTACGAACTGGACTATTTGCGAACGCCACGGAGAGTTGACTCGATTTCTGTGTGTGTGTGCGTGTGTGTGTACGGTATCTTACGGCCAAACTGATTAGCTCCCCCCAATTTACCAGGTGCGACTATTTAATCTACAGACCTACCTTCGCATCGTCCTCTAAGCTGTTATAGTTTAGGCCCCCACGCTGTCGAATGGTCAACTCCTAATCATGGCAATAATTTACATTTACATTTCGCTCCACTTCGCTGAGAACAGCAAGCGGCAAATTTAAGGGCTGTTTTTGTTTTCAGGTCTGTTCTCTTCCAAATATAGCAACTGCAAACGATTCATCATCCAGCTTGGCCTCCTTGCATAACAGAGGTCATAATGGAGCTGTGTAACTTTCAAGTGTATCCGTTCACCAAATAAAAGCTGTGTGTTGGGCGGCGGAGGAGGGGGTGTGGGGGGGCGCAGGGGATGAATGTAACAATGGGATTTCTCACCATCTCATCGTCAGACCAGCATTTCTCAATCAGTTTGGGCACAGGCTTCTTCACCAGTCTTTGCAAGGCCTTTCCTGCGTCGTAACTGCTCTCGTGCAACTAAAATGATTGGGGGGGGGGGGGTGGAGGGGAGGGAATAAGAGAGAAACGACCGTTAGAAAAGTTACCTCCTTCAAAACACACGAAAAAGATGAAGCACTTCAAGTTACAAAATCCTAATACCAGTTTTTAAGAGTCACCAACTCCCGAAACTGGTGATTTTTGACGTCTTAATTATCAACACTGATGATTGTGACTGTTAATAAATGTGGTCAACGAGAGCAGTCAATACGTAAACTGGCTATAGGTTCGAGCATCTTTTTCCCACGCGCATATACACACCACAACCACCCACTCATCACCCACACACCACACCACACGTACAATTACTTGAAATATTAAATGAAAGTACTTAGTTTTGAATTAATTAATTATTCAGTACAAAGCAGTTTTTTGTGTTGGGGGTGGGTGTGTGGGGGGGGGGGGTTGAGAGTTGCAGATTAATTCACAAGCCACTCCGCCTGCAGTATCATACATTAGTATTAATCTTCATTCGGTGAATCAGAGAACAGGAGTCTGAAGTGGTAAACGACCATCATCTCAACTAATCTGTTGCCTTTATTACACAGTAACAAACTGGTGTGGTGGTTCAGAGGCTGGAATGACAGTCGTTGAATGAAAGAACAAACTCGCATTCTTTATGCCACCTCCAAACATCCCAAGTTCTCATTGCCTCACAAGTAATGATCGTCAAGGTCAGTGATAGCTCTTGTGGGTGAATGCAGTAGCCATTTGCGCCCGCAACTATCCTACAAACAGCCATGACTAATTAATCTGGAGGACATGTTGGTCGGTGACAGTGAGAGGGAAACTTCACTTTCTTTTCAAACAGTGCAATGGGATACAGAGTATTGGATCTCACCCCAAAGCAGCCGTTGTTCACAGGTCACAGGAATGACAAGCCTGCCTTATATTTCCTTCGTCCTTGTTTGCAGTTCCCCCAATGTGTGCAGGTACCGGTATAGTTACCCCAGAGCAAGGATCAAATCTGGTACCTTCCCTGGTCTGCTTGCTTCACTACCTCGCTACGTAACCCACTGAGCTATCGGGAACTTCCGGGGCGATATTTTATACGAATTCCGTTTCTCTCAACCTGACAGCAAAGTTCAGTCTCTCGTTCGTCCCCCAAATAAAAAGCGTTAAGAGAAAAATACCGAGGCATCACATCAGGTCATTGGGCAAATGTGCCTCCTAGTTTAAAAGCGTGAATTGACTACTCTGCTTCCCAACCTCTCTGCACTGCAATGGCTTCGAGAGGAATTTTCAACTCCAATTTTCTTTGCAGAAAAGGACTGTGCATAATCCTAATTAAGCAAGCTCGTTTCCTGGGGCAATCTTGCGGCATGTAAAATAAACAAAGCCCCGACAAATTGTTCAGTTTTGTTGGAATAAAAAAAAATCTCGGGCGCCAAGGATAAATAACAAGGCTTGGCAGAACTGTCAAATAGCCACAATTTCACTGCAAGGTCTCATTGCTTCTGCACAAACTGCTCATATGATCTGCCATTTTCTGTCAGCACAAATCCCGAGCATAAATTTTCCTTTTGGCATGGCTCAGCTGTCGTCCACCTTCGCGCTGTAATGAACTCATGAATTACATCTCGCAGTGCTGACAGTCCCCATCTAACACATCAAAATATTGTTCTTCAATTGTAATTTATAACTTCATTTGCATGTCCCCTTTCTCCACTGTGACCTTCCCCAACCAAGTGCCACTGCGTGGCTGCAGTCACAACAAAAGCAGCTGTGCATCACTTATGATTACAGCTATTATACTTCCCAGCTCCATACATCACACTGCAGTTGTGTTTTCACACCGCCGTTTGCTGCACAAAGCAAGAACACGGATCAGCATTTTCCACCCGCTCTGGGAACACCGTTAATGTCATCTTTATTGCACTTCACCGTGCGTGCGTGTTATCAAAAAAAAAGATACACTGCACCGTCAAATATTGGCAATATTCATTTTAGTTTTTTTAAAATATATATTTCTTGCAATGGGTCTAAAATATGGGTTGGGCTAAGAGCCAATGGGCTAAACAAACTCAAGTGATCTTTATACCCAATTAATCAACAAAATGATCTTAGAATCGCCCGTAATCTTTTCATGGAAATTACTAATTACACAGTTAAGGGCAAGTGTAGGGATTTGCATACGGGCTGCTAGCCCACCTTGCATTTTCGACCACCGATGTATTTCAATACAACGGTTGCGCAAAATTTGGTCTGTACCATTGTCTTACCATTATTAGAATTTATTGCATTTCTCGGTCGTGAAAAAAAAATCAACGTGTTGCATGTAATATCGCCAACATTCAAATAAACTTTTTCTTAACAAGAAGAATTCTTGCATTTGACACAGCGCCTTCGAGACGTCTCATAGTGCTTCGCAGGATGCACTGTAAAGTGGAGTGACTGTGTATTATCTTGAGCACCAAAGCTCATCTGCACTAGGCAGAGGCAACGATGTTGTGGTGATCTCTAACCTGGATATTAGAATACGCGGAGCCAGGAGAATGATCGAGTGTGAACAGCGCTACATAAATGCATGGTGTTATTGTTGTTGTTGGTTCTACTGCTTGTTCTTCAGTCTCTCCATCTTACCACCATCTGGGGCTGATTTTTCAGTCGCCAGCCCCTCCACCGCCAACACCAATTTCCGGTGTGGGATGAGCGAAGGCAATGGGTGGGAAGAGATAAAACAAAGAGTGTTTTGGGTGGAGTTGAAACAAAACACTCGGGAAATAATGGACAGCCTGGGCTCAAGCTGTAAATAAATCGATAAATAAATAATAGTAACTTGGTCACTCAATCCACAACTGTTTGCGGGGACACTGCCGTGTGCAATTGGCCGCCCACAAAATATATTCTGTGAAGTGCTTTGAGACGTCTCGAAGACATAAGGCGCTATGTCAAATGCAAGGATTATTATTATTATTATTATTATAAACGTGCAATTTTCTGACTGCAATCTAGAGTTTGGACTAAATACACACGTCTTCGGAGCCTGGAATAGATTTTTGAAACTTGTGGCCAATTTTGACAAAATAAATCTGTCCTTTCCAGCTATGCTCAATCCAGCAGCTGTTGTCTGAAGGGAGTCTGATGTCTTACACTTGCAGTAACACTGGGTAGAAGACCACGATGCCGAGCCACTATTCACCTTGCACCTCAAACTGGTCAGACACAGGAAGAGGCGGGGGGGGGGGGAAATTACACCGTGTAAAAAGCACTCGGAGAGAGCGAGAAAGAGAGAGAGGGTGAGAAAGAGAGAGAGAGAGAGAAAAAAAAACACCCACAGCCAAGGACAACAAAATTCCAGACTCAAACGCACGCAGGAAGTGCTGCAGTTGCAAAAACAAGGCTCCGGGACTGCAGTATAAAATCCTTTTTTTGTGTGAAGAAATCCTTGATGGATGTTTTAAGTGCTAACAGTTTTTGAAGCTGAGTGCATTTCAAAATGGTTGCTGTGATCTTGATTCTGGCTGGCAAGCTGCCTTTTCAGCCGTTCTCGTTTGCTCCTGTAGCACTGTCTCTCTCTCTCACACACTCTCTCTCTCTCTCCCTCTCTCTCCCTCCGCCTCAAGCTCCTCACTAATTTTAAACTCTTACATTTGCAGCTATTTCACGAACGGGACTTTGAAATAAAGTCAACGTCAGGCTGCTGGCTGGGAGGAAGAGATAACTGGCTACCCCCATTTTGATTTTTTTTTATTAACGCAACAATTCGAAAAAGAAGAATGAGCGCTCACATTTTGAACGGCTCCAAAACATATTTTAAAAAAAAACGCGCGCGCAACACTCTTCTGTGTTCTCGGCTTCGGAAGTTTTCAAGGCAATTCATGTCTGAACGTGTTAGTTAATCAAAAACAAGGTTACACTATGCAAACGTGCCAAGGAAATTAAACATTCAGGCTGCGAGCTCTTGGCTTTAACACATCCCCTTTGGAAAAGTGCATCATATTTAAAATGCGAATCTTAATCACAGAAGTAGTTTGTTTTCAATCTGTTTTTTATTTATGGGTTGTTGTGTTTAAGTGCATTGATTCCAGTCGGCAGGAGCCATTTCCCCGATTATCCACTGGTGCTGACAAGTACATTGACGATATGAAATTGAGCTCCTCCACTGAACCAGTGCTGCTTATTTGCAACAATCACTGTAGAGTAGTGAGCCCGATAATTGCACTCAGTGGGCCTGACCCCATTGTGGATCTGAAATCAGTATGAATATCAAGCCATCAAATGAAACACCGTGTACAGTACTAACTAAACATTTCTTCCACCAGCTCCTGTATTGAGACTATTATCCCCTACACAGCAGACCATCTTCTCTCAGGTCTCTCCACACACTCCCCTCGCCCGTTCTATCCCCCACCTCCCTCCGCCGTGCCTCTCTCCTGTTCCCCCCCCCACTCTGTGTGAAACCCTCTCCGATTCCATGCCGCGAAATGGGAGATCGGGACATTTCAGCCGCACTTCAGTTGCACGATTTTATTGGGTTTGAGAAACAAGCAGTTTATATGGTGCTCTGCCATCCCACACAGAAAGCCACAATCAAGCGCCTCTCCCACACTCTCCTCTCTCCATCACCCCCACCCACGGTTTCCTCATCACCCAGCAGATCAGCTTTTGAGGTCCTTGTTCTCACCACCGAATGCCTCCGTAGCTAAATTAAATTTTAAGTGGCATTTGAAGTCGATATCTGAGAGGCCAGAGGCCGTGCGTGGACTAAATTGTCAGCCTGCACGACTCTAAGATCTTTGCTCGCACCACAGAGGTTTGTGTACGATCACATAGAAGTCCGGTTTAATACCTTTAGAACTTTAATTTCAGGCTTGTTCAGGTTTCGAACCAATTCTGCTGTCCAAAAAAATTATATTTCTTACCAAAATGTTAGTGCTTCTCGTGTTAAAAAAAACCCAAATATTTCCGCTCGCCTGGCTTAAAAAGAAAAATAACACTGGCTTTATTGGAAACTCTTCGCTGTTAAAAGAGTGTCAGGAATTTCAATTACTTCCCTTTCAGTCCAGAGCCCAGCAGCATCTGGCTTGCGCAAGAGGAGAAATTTGAATTTAAACAGATCATAGAAATTTCTACAGTGGATTTTCAGATACAAGAGACACAGGAGGGTCAAAGTGCCAACGTATATTCCTTCGCTGTGAGTGGGTGTTGGGTGGATTCCAAAAAATCCACAGCAAATCTTGAGAGTTGCAGATAATAATAATAAATAAAAATCCTTGCATTTGACATAGGGCCTTATCACATCTTCGAGACGTCTCAAAGCGCTTCACAGGATATACTGCATATTTTGTGGGCAAAACTGGTGGCAGCCAATTGCGCACAGCAGTGTCCCATAAACAGTCAAGGAATGAGTGACCAAATTATACCATCACAAATAAACTGAGCCTTTGGATGGTAATGGTAGTCATTGTTTTTGTAGGCAAATGCAGCAGTCAGAAACTCCCTTCTCCCTGGGAGAAATTTCCTTCCCTTTTTGAGTAGTGTCATCGGACCTTAAACTTTCACGTGAAAAACAGTCAGGCAGGGTCTCGGTTTAATACCTCATCCGAAGGATGACAACACACGCTGCAGCCAGAGCTTTACTGGAATGTCAACCAAGTCGAGACACTTAAGTGAACCTCTGCCTTGTCTGTTTGCTTTGTTAATTTAGTTGGCTGCTAAAGATCGTATGGGACTATTTCAAACATTAGGGTACTCTCTGATGTCCTGGTCAAATACCTTTCTCTTAGAGGTTAGCCAGTTATTTATTTTATGTAGAGCATGTGTGACTTTGCTGTCGCTTTTGCAGTAACATTCAATAAAGCGCTGGGATGATTGACCTAATAAGGCACTATATCAAGTGCAATTATTATACTGCAACAATAAACAAACTTCCTCTTTCCATCTGTCAAACTGTATACATTTCCCAACTGTGAAAGTGTCCCTCTACCAATGCTACTCTCCAGTCAGTTAGTTGACTGGAACATGGGAAAGGCCTGAGGGAACTCATATTCTGATTTTCCTTCCCCCTGTGCCTTAAGGAGAAGCCTGTTAGCTGTCCCCTGATAGAACAGCTGAGATCATGAATTTCACGTGTGGGCAGCTGTAGGCACTATCCACATCCCACCAGTTTGTGTTGCCCTATAATACTGTACGTTCCATTTTGAGCACACGGTGACTGATGGAGATAATATCATTCAGCTCCTTCAGTGATGGGGAAAATAAAACACAGCAGGATTCCATCAATTTACCATTTAGACTGGCTTTCCTTATTATGAAGTCTGTGCATTTGCTGCAACACTTAAAATCTAAGAAAGGTGGATTCGTGAATTATTCATAAATAGCAAATGTAAATAAGTGGACATCTTCATTCAGGGCCTTTCGCAGAACTTAATGAGTGTGGAATAGCAGGCAAATCTCTTTTAACAAATAAAACAATCTTATTCTGATACGATTTTCAAGTTCTTGGAAGTCCTCTGCGTTATTTGCTTGATAAATTCTTATTTTATATGCAAACTGTAATCCTGAAGTACCCTATCTGTTATCTCCTTTCTCCCCTCATCAACAAAGCTCTATTTAGTGAGAGTCTCAGCTAAATGGAATGTGAATTAATTCAATATCGGTACAGATACACTTCCCTGAGGTTTGATTTTCATAAGGCAAGTCACTGGGAGAATAGCGTTATTACATCTAGGAATTCAGCGAAATGACATTTCTCATTTCCCAGCCTTCGTAGGTAGCTTTCACAATTAACGGTAACCCCTCCTCCCCCCTCCACCACACCCCCCAGCTTTGATACTGCCGCAGTCCGCCATTACATACATAAAACATTAGTGGACCGACCTGCCAACTCTGATTTATACAATGTGCCGCAGCAGAATTGATGTGTTTTTCTTGTACTTTAGTGCGAATTTGCAGTGTTCCCCCCACTCCTCCCAGCCCCGCTGTTTCACCCAGCAGAAATGCACCCGTACTGCCAATAGTTGGCAGGCTTCACGGAAACCATGAGGACAGAAGCAGAAGAGCCATATGTTTAGGCCACTTCAGTTAACGATAAAGCACGACACCCACGTCGGCTGAGGCCGGGGCCGGGTTGAAGTTTACCCCGATTGGTTAGCACTGATCCGGGCAGATTCCAAAGTGATTGCATTTTGATTGCGCCTCCCAACTTGCCACCCCACCCACACCCACCCGCACCCTACCCACCCGCCACACACGCCACACCCACACACCCATACACCCACACACACCCCCACGCATCTCACATCCGCACTGTGCGTTTCGTGGCGCTCAGAACCTTTCCCGAGAGAACTTACGGTGTTCAACGCGTTGACTGTGGTGTCGTCACGGGATGCGGCAAGGCAGCCATCTTCTGTGGATCCACCGTCGCACATCCCGGCGAAGGCAGCCATGCTCCTGGACACAAAGAACCGTTTTTTTTTGAGTGACTCGGGGATGGGGGGTGGAGAGGGTGGGTTGGGGTGTGAGGGTGGAGCCCGACACTCGGGATTTTCATCCTTGAAAAATCTCAACTCCGAAAAAACACGACACGTTTCGAAAACGCCACGAACACTTATCTCGAAACCACTGCAGACATTCAACCCCGTATTGGCTGTCATTGGGTTTCCCTTCCAGACTTCCACCGGGACAAACCCGTGCCTTTCGCCATTCATTCATTCATTCACAGGGAGCAAGCCTTGCTTGTCTGTTGCAACTATTTCTCTCGGCCTTTTTTCCCTTCTTGCACAGTCGTGCAATTCTTGAAGGGCCTTCTCCAGGGGCAGAGAGGACAGCCACGAGGCTGAATTCCCCAGTGTCCTGAGCTGCGAGGAATGGCTTGGGCTACGAGGGCTCCTCAGGGGTCGAAAAAGAGACCTCTCAAAAGCAGAAGCACACACGATGCGAAACAAAACTGAGGAAGAAATCGAGGAAGCGAACCCTGCACAATACTTTCAGATTCGCCAAGGCAGCAGGACAAGAAGTCACACGTTCAGGGGTGCGAAACTATTTTCTTTTTTCTTTTATATAGAGAGAGTAAACAGTGAGTAGCCCCGGGTTACCCGGGAAGGGTGGAAGAGTTCAGGACCCTCCGCCACCCACAATGGGGGAAAAAAAACAGCTTTAAGCTGTAATGAAAGGGTATTCTGAAAGGTGAATTCAAATGAGCCTCTTTCGATATGTTTTTTCTCTATTCCCCACCTCCCCACCCACACTACACCCCCAGCCAAGCCATTCCATGAACCCCCACACGTTCACTGCAATCTAAACTGCTAAGCCATGTCATCGCAACTTCCTGCACGTACACACACGTTGGCGCAATTAATCAGCTAAATGGATGCTGGTTCCATTCCGAGTGCTGCCAAGTCCGGCCAGTTTCTCCAAGGTAAAAAAAAAAAGCAGAGTTGCTTTTCGAATAGCGGCCACTTTCTACGAGTTTAACTACACGTTAGCCTCTCACCCCCAGCTCACCCTGTCACAGTCGACGTTCTCTTCTCTCCGTCGTACCTCTAACAGCCCAATTGAGGTTTGCAACCCACTCTGCAGGAAACTGTTTAACCACATTAACACTCAATTCGCCAGCGTGTAAAGATTAACTTGTGTTCTTCAGTGCCAGCACAGTCATCTTCTGTGCGCGCAGTAGCAAACAGGGATAGGGCAGCACTGCAAAGATCTAGGAGTTAGCGTGTGTGCACAACAGCACAAAGCACGGGATAAACGGGAGGAAGGAGATGGGTAGGTGATGGGGATAAAAAAATAATAATTTGGTCACTCAATCCACGACTGTTTGTGGGACAATTGGCTGCCGGGTTTCGCCCACAAAATATACAGTCAATTTACTTTACAGTATATTCTGTGAAGCGCTTTAAAACGTCTCGAAGACGCGATAATATTCTATATCAAACGCAAGGATTATTATTATTATTTAAGGGGGTCCTAAAATCGTGTAGGGGGAGAAACGCACGACATTTTAAAAAGCAAACTGTTTCCTCTGTGTGGAAAAAAACTTTTTTTTTTGGTTTATCAAATCAAGTCAAGTCAAGTGAAGCCATTCGCGTCCTCAGATATGCCGCGAGAGTGTGTTCTCCCTCACCTGGCTGCCCTCAGGTACATCAGCAGGTCACAGTCATTGACTCCAGGTGTCCAAACCAGTTCCTCATGTTCTGTCACCATCTCGCCAGACGACAAGGGAAGAGGCTTCCAATCGGGAAGTTTAGCCTGCACGCAAAAAAAAGTCATCACGTATCTACGTAAAATGCACAGGGCAGAAGATTGTGAGGACAAAACGAATTCTCTGCATTTCCAAAGTTCACGGTTGCGGCTTTGGAAGAAAATACAACACTAGTTTTAGTGACATTTGATCAGGAGGAAACCATCGAGGAAGTTCTGCTATTTTATTAAATCCGAGCAGATCTTTGTATCCCATTATCCTGCCCTTTCTGCTGAGGTTCCTGGCCAACTATCTCCCGGGTAAAATTGGTCACTCACTTGATGGTTGTTTGCGGGACACTGACATACACAAGTTGGCTGCCGAGTTCACCGACAAATACAGTCACTACACTTTACAGTAAATCTTGCGAAGCACTTCGAGAAGTTTTAATGATGTGATGAAGCATTATGTCATGTTATTATTTATTTTAGTCCCTTGGGACGACGTCCTTCCGACTTGAAGGGCGCTATCTATACAATACACAGTCACTATACTTTACAATATATTCTGTGAAGCGCTTTGAAATATCTCGAAGACGTGATAAGGCCCTATATTGTGGAGTCCTGTAGCTCACTGGTTAGAGCACTCGCCTCGCACGTGACAGACCTGGGTTCGATTCCCGTCCGGGCAAAACCTTGGGCAAGTTTCCTTACTCCACATGCCTAATAATAATCGCTCAAGAAAAAATAACAATAATAAATTGGTCGCTTCAATCCACGGCTGTTTGTGGGAGGGACGCTCCTGTGCGCAATTGGCTGCCGCGATTCGTCCACAAATGTACAGTCAATTCACTTTACAGTATGTTCTGTGAAGCGCTTTTAGACGTCTCGAAGACGTGAAAAGCGTTATCTCAAACGCAAGGATTATTATCAAATTATTATTATATGAAATGCAAAAATGATTATTTTGGAATTTGTTGTTATTTTTTTCTATATATTCGGCAATATTAAGTAAGAACCTCGGTTCCGTTTTCAAATAAGCTGTAAGCCAGCAACAAGCTCTGAAGAAATCATTCCAAGTGCCCAAAAACATCTTTGTCCAACGACAAACTGCTCTGTGCACAATTGTTGAGTTCGCATATATTTCAAAACCAATTGAACACCAGCAGTCTTCTCGGGCAGCCATCGAGATAAATACGGATTAGGTTTTACAAAAAAAGTTAACCATTTTTGCCCCGCGATATACTTTATTGCACGAGCTTCCTGCGATTAGTTTCCTGACTTGTCTTTGGCGTTGAAGGCAAATGTACAAGTGGTTTGGGTTGCAAAAGAAGTAGTCAGTATGCTTGCACCCCTTCCTGCAAAATGTCACTTCCTCAAGCCTAAAATGCTGCCATTTTACATTGTTACGCACTGCGCTCAGTAAATTGAGTATAACCTCTAATGACCCGTGGAAATAGTTATTAAGGGGGATAGTAAAGTGATATGACTGTTGGTGTTAAATTAATATTACTACTATCAAGGGATCTAATTAGCAGCTTTATTCAGTGATTACGGCACATTCGGAACTTTGATTGCCTTTTGGGAATTGGCCCTTAATCTTTTTCATTATAACACATGGCTACAGCTCTGAACCAGATCAACAAAACCACTAAAGCCTTGCTGAAAAATCAAACAAAATTAGATGAAGAGTTTGTGCAATTTATCTCGAGTTTTACTTTTGATGGCGTTTTTAATATCTTGCAGAAGACATTGATTCAGTTCCAATAAGAAAACTCCCGACAAAACTTCCGGTTAATCGACCACGCGTTCGGGCATTCTTGCAAGGAAATCGTTGTGCTTATCGCATTTAAATAGGATTTTTGTTCAAAATCGCAGTTTATTCGGGTAATAANGGGGGAGTGGAATTTCAAAGCCAAAGTATTTGTTTTAAATCTATGGAAAATTCAAAGACTTGGTGGCGAACCAAGGCAAACTCTATTATTGAAAAATCAACAGCTCAAAGCTTCCCCAAAGCAAAAGGAGGGAAATTAAATTATCTGCAGGATATGCAAACAAGAAACCAGACTATTTGCAGGACTGAGCTTTCCATTTTCAGCAAGACGTGACAGCAGCATCATTTGTTAACGGCGAGAATATGTTTAAACATTTATAGCAATTGAACCGCATATTTACATCCACAGCGTAAACAGAAGTGAAAGATGCAAAGTTTCAGCCCTTTGTTCTGGAGTCCCCCAAAACCCGCCATTTGTAAACAGCACTGAATTTTCACTGATTCACCAAAATAATCATAATAATCCTTGCATTTTGATATCACGTCTTCCGAGACGTCTCAAAACGCTTCGCGGAATACACTGTGAAGTGAATCGACTGTATTCTTTTGTGTGGGCGAAATAAAATGTTACGTGAGAGCAATTGGCTGCCGGGTTTCGCCCACAATTTATACAGTCAATGCACTTTACAGCATATGCTGTGAAGGGCTCTGAGAAGTCTCACCCTCATGATAAGGCGCTATATCAAACGTACACGTTATTATTATTACATTATTGTATTAAGCCGTCGAAGAAATCCAAGGAGAAATTCCAAATCAATGCTCTTCTTCAATAAAAATTAGAAACAGAAGCTTGAAATCGCTCAGTCTTAAGCTTAAGGCCATTCCCTTCACGTTTAAGATGATGCAAATTTTGGAGAAGTCTTAAATCTAGCCTTGAACCACCCCTCCTCCAGGGTCCCCACCCCTCTCGTATCCAAGTTTTTGGCTATTGAGTGTTTTGAGATATCTATCTTGTGTGAGCAAGCTGCGTACAGAGCTTTCAGCAGTGCTCCCTCAGCATCAGTTTGCAATTTCTTATTTTCAAATAAAAGTAGTTAAAAAAAAACATGCAATGGTGCGCAGCTCCTTTAATGCCTTAATCATCCTGACAGAAGCGAAGAGTGAGGCGCTCGAAATTTCCCTGTTCGGTTGATTTCTGATTACAAGTGAAGAAATCTTACGTTGGCCGTGCTACATAACGTGGCGACATGTCATTAAACTGCTCACTGTGGGGTAGGGAAGCTGGCCAGCCTTTGCAGTTCACGACCAGTTGAGGGGCCAGAGGTTCTGCGAGCCATTCGCTTCCCAGCTCATCCTGAGACGTAGCCAAAGTGGTCCCAGTCCACAAGACCCCCACCAAACAACAGTGGGCCAACAGAGCGTCCGAGGACTCATAAATGTCATAACAACCGGATTTCAACAAGCCAATACCAATATTTCACGCTAAACTTTGAGGACAGAATATCCTCGGTGTTGAGCTGTGTCCAAGATGACGTGTTTGTCAATGGAACCCTGGAAACGAGTCCACTTTCCGAGGCTATCTTGATGGGATGAACAGCGTGGGTAATAATTTATTTTCTTAGCTCAAGGGTACAGATTCCAATTGCAGGACCTCTTCCCACTGTTTCCTTGGTTGATATCAGCCAATTTAACAAGCCGACAAAATATGCAGTCAGTTCATTTTACAGCGTATCCTGTGATGCACTTTGAGACATCTCGAAGACATGATAAGGCTCCATATCAAATGCAAGGATTATTATTATTATAGGATTATTATTAATACAAGAGACCCCAAAACCTCACCTTATCCTCGCTTGTAAAAATACATTTTGCCCTTAAAAATTAACCTTGCATAGATTCGCGGAAAAGCGTAATCTTAATTTGGAACCAGGATCCTTTCAAGAACTTCAGTAATAGCGGTTTGCAAATGTAGACCAACTTATTTTTTTTTTTTTTAAATGTTTTTACTTTCAGTGAGCTCAGATTTTGGTCTTGACAGAACTGTCAAAATATATCCTCAAAAAAACCCACAGATTTCAGTACAGCCATGCCCGTGCATCACTTGAAACACTCGCACGCTCACCATAACCTCAGCAAGATACGTTACCAAAAAAGTAAGATAGGGGAACGTACCATTTGACGTGAAATAAAAGGATCAAAAGGGCACTCGCGAGAGTGAAACGTTCGTTCGTTGGAGAATTTCCAGCTGCACAAAGGCTCGCCTCTGTGTTTACCTGACACAATTGGAAGCTCACAACAGGATTGAAGTCTCCAGCACACCCACCCACACCCGGTATTCCCCCCTGGCGAGATCTGTTTACTCCAGAACAGTCAGATGATTGGTTATGAATTTGATATATGCTTTGAACAAAACCAGTCTAATCAATGATTGACAGCTTCCACAGAACAATAGACTCCCAGCCCCATTCTATCAACGCTTGTTGTGCCAAATGGCTCGTGCGTAGCCCGAGTGCTTCTCAGGGTCTCCAGCTAGATAGTTAGAGTAGCAAATCAAATGACAGAACGAGCAGAGTTTAAGGTGAATTGTTTGGAGATTATTACAGTAATAAAGCCATTCTTCGTGTTTGAGCTGTGTAGCTTCGTTACTGCCCTATTTGCATTTTCGGTGTGTTGGTTGACGCACAAGGAAGTAGAGTTACTGGGATATTAACAGTTAAAAAAAAATGCTGCAAACATAAAACAAGGAAGTGCTTGGCTACAGAAATGACTTGCCCCTACAGTACTATTCTCTCTCTCAACTTTAATATCCTTCAGGTTTCTTCTTCCCTTCGTCTGCATTAATTGGTTTTGAATATTTAGATGGAAGTAATGAATGCTGAAGAGGTTACGAGAGGAAATGCCTTGGAGAAAAGGTTGCTTCGACCAACAATGTGAAAGAACAGAACCAATATCATTTGAGCTCCTGGTTAAGCTCGGGGCTTCTGCTGGGCTTGTGATTTCCACTGTGCAAAACATTGTTAGATGCTCTTGATTGGGTTACGTTATTCTAACTCACTTATCAAACTGCCCTCATTCTGTAAGCAGAAGATTTACTATGTTTCAGATGAGTTGGAAAGAAAGGAACGTGCATTGCCATAGTGACTCATCACATCTGCATCTCAAAAACAATCATGGTCAAGTGCACCGATATTTTCTGTAGGTAAATACGACAGCCATTTGTCCCATGAAACACTGACAAGATGAACGACCAATTTATCAGGAAGGATTGTTTGCCGGGACTCCAGGAGAAACTTACTTCCCTTAGTGAACAGTGTCATGGGATCTCTTAACGTTCACTGGAATAGACACAATCAAGTCAGACCATCACTTTGACCTCTCATTTGAAAAACAATACTGCTCCCTTCAGAAACTCATTGACTATGGGCTAGAGACCCAATGCGAGATTGGAACCTCTAACCGTCTAACCCAAAGGCAAGAGTCCTATAGAACCAAAGAAACGTCCAGCACAGAAGGCAACCATTTATAGTCCATCATGCCTGGGCTGGATCACTGAAAGAGCTCTATTCAAAACTCGGCATTGCGAAACACAAGACAAAAAACTGGCAGCAGAAACCTTGTGCCTTAAAACGTACAGCTTTTCCTGGCAAAAGGTGCGCGTTAAGCTTGACGCGAAGGGCAAGAACAAACTCTGAAATAACTGACTGCAACGGGGTGAGCCATGGCTTTAATGTTGCAAATGTTGAGTTGTCTGGTGTATTATCTGTATGTGCAAGTTATCACTTCTGGCTGACGTAAGTTTGTGCTGCAAGTTATTTAACTTGGGATGGCTTTCTTGTGTGTAAACCTAGTCCAGACACGATACTGATGCCATTCTTATTGTCAAAGCACCATGAGAATACAATCCACCTCAGTAAACCTGCCTTCCTGACTTTTGTCTAGGAGAACAGGTGCCTTTCAATACCCTGGGGACTTTCTTTGCTCAGGTCTGTGCGTGAAAGACCACGGGGGAGTCTGCCACAGCTTGTGTCAACAAACATTCGCTCCTCGTTGGCTACGGGGAATGAACGGTTCTGTCTGGTTCGCAAGTGACAGGCTCCTGGTTCTTCCTCACCATTTTAGAGACGGAACAAAAGAAGAGGACTGTAATTCTGCTGCCTCCTAAACAGATCCAGACCGTAACTGAACCCTCGCATGCGAAATCCGAGGCAGACAGATGGGATTAAAAGATCTGCTGCATGTAATAAAATGGTGACACGGGTTCAACCGGGTTGAATGGCCTCCTCTTATTTCTATGCCTTTGGAATCAATACCAAAATAACATCTTTGACAACGGCAGCAGCTTAAAGACCACATTTCCACAAACTGCATTGTTCTTTTTTTCAATGCGGGTTAATTGTCTTGAAGATTCGCACCTGATAAACACGACTGCAGCACAAAGATATTTACGGATTATTTCGGAGATGACGTTAGGTCTGCCCTTACCTGGTGGCTGGGTCCCACGCGGATTTCCCCCTGGGTGCTGTTCAGCCTCCTGAAAATAAAAGAAATTCAAAATGAATAAAGTGGGCATAACATTTACATTTTAACCTTGTGCAAAGTGCGAAAGTGCTTATAAATGATTGCTTTTTTTATGGATTGTTTCAGAGTAGGTCTTAAAATCGAGAGATGTTGTGGAAGGATGAGGTTTTCACACGATACGTGAATCAAGAAGAATAGCAACTACAGTATGACTCATGGCCTTTCTTGAACCTGAAAACGCCGTCGACTTTAATGTCACCAAATTGTACATGTAAAGGAGGGAGAGAGGATAGAGAGAAGAAAGAGTAGGGGAAAGAACTCAAGCCTGTGTCTTCACTTTGTAGTGCACTGTGCTCCTATGTCCTTTCCTTCTGAAAATAAGCCTTTAATTGCTTGATCGCAAAGAATTTCTGCGTTCAAATTACATTAAACTCCTCGAACGACTTTCCCAAAGCTGGCCAAAGATTGCAGAGTTTTAATTGACCCGAAAAAAAATCTGGAGCTCCGAATTTGCTCATTGCATCATCTCTGACCTCCAGTATCAGCCCCAGAATCAGCCCTGTCAACTCAGGTTGTGTCTTCTGAGATACACGACCACTCCTTTTCACTGGCATGTTGACAGCACGTCTAACTGAGTTATCCTCCATTCTATTTCGAATCAATTTCTCTCGGTTCTACGCCAGGCGAGTTTCGCGTTGCTTCGCTTGCACAACTATTTTTTGAAACCTGGTTCTCGTTCCTAGCTCTCTCTGGACTTTCACAACAAGCTGTTGAATATTCCCTCTGGAGTGGTTGTGTCTTCACACAGAGGTACTGCTCAGTGGAGAGATGGAGAAGAACTTGCCTCCCCCGCCCCCCCTTTCCAGCCCCCTCCAAGGCCCTGCTCAGTGATTCTCTTCTGGTGAATAATAATAATAATAATCATAATAATAATAATCTTCAAGACATCTCAAAGCGCTTCACAGAACACACTGTAAAGTGAATTGACTGTATATTTTGTGAACTGCTCAACAATCCATCAGATTAATTGGCTTAATCACTCTACGGCTGCGTGGAAGCACTTACAGCTTACTCTGCACAAAATATCTGTGGCGGTTGTCTACAAATACAGTCACTACATCTGACAGCAATTACCACGAAGCACTTCAAGATGTTTTGGCGTGATAAAGCGCTGTAATAACACATGCTTTTTCCTCGTGCTTTTTGCGGCCTGAAACATCGCAAACTTTTCCCCGGTGGCAAACGCTGGCAGGTTGAGCTGAGGTTTCAGCAGCGAAGGAGTTAAGCCTTAGCATATCTCCGAACCGCTCGCTTTCCATCTTTACGGGTTTCTGCTTGTGTGTTAGTGTGTGTGTGTGTGTGTGTGTTTTTTACAGTCTGAGTGGCTCTGAATGCTAAAAGGCAGGAAACTGGGCACAAAAGTGGTTGATGCAACAAAGATGGAAACCATAGCAACGCCAGTTTAATATTTTTGGGGTTTCACAGCTGCAATGGATTAAAGAAAATGACAAGATGTTCACATTGAGAGAGCACGGTTGCTATGGCTACACTGTAGATTTCATGTTATAACAAGCAGAGCCCTGCCCAGAATTTCCAAGTCTGGTCTTGTGCGGTAATGCTTTGCGAGCGAGACTGCACTTGGCAGAGGGGTGGGGGTGGGGGGAGAAAAAAAAACCTTTGCCGGGTTTGGTCTGGGTACACTAAATGTGGGGCGTTAATTGGAGCTGGAAATGACATCTGGTTTCTCCACAAAGAACTCTGTAAATCTGCACACACGTTCATACACGCACCCGCGCCACATCCAAGGTCTCGTTCGGATTTATGAAGCAAATTCCCATCTTCTTTTTTTTTTAAAAAAAAACGCGCAAAGCTGAACTGTCAGTTTGCCCGACTGACTGTCTAAGTCTGTCCGACTCACTGCCTGACTGTCGTGGGTGGGATCGGGCCAGCACCTGAGCTCCCGGCCCACGCTGAAACACACCCCCTCCTCCCCCCAGTACAGAACCGGGGTAGGACAGAAATGTCAGAGGCGTTGTCGAAGGTGTGTCCCTTCGAACCAGACGCCAAACTGAGTTGCTTAGGTGGATGTTTGAACCCACGGTTGGTGGGGGCGTTCCGCTACTTTGTACAGTTTGGGCAATCCATTGGAGGAAGCATATGTTAACCAGTGGAAAAGGAAAAACTAGCCAGTTGCTTGAAGGCTTGGAATATTTTAAAGTATGGAGAATAAGTTGGGGGAATGGGATTAGATCAGGTGGATCATGTAGGGAAAAGCACCAACGCACAGTATACTCCAAGAGCCAAATGGCCTGTACCTGCCCCGTAACATTGCATCACGCTGCAACTCTTAACAATTTTACATCGGAAGGTTTGATGAGTAACCGTAAATCTATCACAAACCCAAAGAGCCGGGTGAGTACTTGGGAGGGCGGAAGAGACTCGAAACATGTGAGGGATCACGTGGAAAACGTAGTTTGTACTCGCGTCACTTGTAGAAGCACAAGTCCGAAGCCAATGGGACTAGAAAATAGACGTTGGACGGGTAACACGTGTAGCTTTCGAAATCCACTTACATCAGGAAATTATTACTGAACTAATGAAAGGCTGGTAACAAAAGGTGCCTTTCCAAGCAGATAAGGATGCTGGCGCATTGTAAGCGATCCTCCCGCTTACATTTCAGTCTCGCGCACGCACGCACTCACGCGCGCACTTCCACCCTTTCCTAACGCACGACAGACATAGCAGGGCCCTCCCTCCCTCCCTCTCTCTCTCCCGCGGCAAAAAAAAAACCCCACTGCGGAATAAAAATAAAATAAAAAGATAAACACTCAATATCACCGCAGTATGATTCATGTGCCAGAACTGCAGTGAGTCACACGGTACAATAGTGGGAGTTGCCTGCTTGAAAGGAGATACATCTGCACTACAGATTTCCTGTTTAAATTTTTTTTTTGACTATTACAGAGAACATAGGCAGTAATTTTATTTTCGAGGCAGCAACATGTCAAAAGGCTCGACGATAAGCCTAGTTTATTTCTTGTGAACGCCCTGAATGCACGCACCAAGAGCTGTAAAATATGCACGGACCGGACCTCTTCCAAGGTTCTGCGCGGATAAAATGTACCAGATGACGAAATATCGAGCCACACAAACCAGAAATGCCCTGGCTTCTAACCCGGAGCTCAGAATTGAGCCGTCTTCCCTGTACAAGTCGGGTGCCCTTCAGGAAAGGACAGAAAAACTGGAAATAATAAAAAGGACCCATTGCTGTGAAATAAAACGAATGTCCTCTCCGCAGAGTGAATCCTGTCAGACAAGAATCCCCACCCCAGTCCCCGCCACCCCAGGAGTATTCACGGACAGGCTAAGCGGTTTTAAAAGTAATCAAAATAATTTTATGCAGCGCATCTGAGAACGGAGATCGCACATAGTTTTTGCCTTAGATCATTGTCTTCAAAATCGAAGATGCAGCATTTTTGGAAAATCCTTCCCTGGTATCCCACGGCAGCGAATTTAAGCCGAATTAATATTGAAGACGGTGAGAAAGTTTGGGTCAGGGGGTCAATGCAGTGGTATGGAACCTAGAACCAGAGATGATGCTAATAAATTGCAATGGCTGAGATTTCTGACAGGCTTCAAGCCACTGGTCCTAACAATTGCAACCTGGAGCCTCTCAATTCAGAAACTCACAGGCGCAACACGAGAACACAGATTCCGATCTGCTCGCTCCTACTTCGGTCATAGATCCATGAAAAACTGAAGTGATGAAATAAAATTTCAGTGAAATATCCTACTTTTTAAGAAAACTTCTGCCCAAGATAATAATAATAATAATCCTTGCATTTGATACAGCGCTTTTCATGTCTTTGGGACGTCTCAAAGCGCTTCACAGAATATACTGTAAAGTGAAATGACTGGACATTTTGTGGGCAAAACGCACAGCAGCGTCCCCACAAACAGTCGTTGATTGAGTGACCAAATTATTATTGTTTTTATTTAAGGACTATTATCCCCGGAAAAGCGATCTGCCAATCGACTACCAACCCGGTTCCTACTTACTGCTAGGTAAACAGAGGCTGTGGAGTAAGGAAACTTGGCCAACGTTTCACCTTGCCGGGAATAGAACCCAGGCCTCTCGCTTGCGAGGCGAGTGCTCTAACCACTGAGCTGCAGGACTAAATATCTGGAATGTTAAACACATTTAACGTTAACGTGGCAACAGTGCAGCAAGGTATAACCATCAGAATACAGGCAGGTATCTCAATACCTACTTCGTTACAAGTCGATGTAGAATTGCGGAGTCATTGGTCAACAGATTACAGAAAAAATTAACACACAGAATGTACATTTTCTCTCTGTCCGGACCCACAAAGCTGAGCTGCTGATCATTGTCGAGACGTCTTCAAGGGAGAAAAATCTCACTAAGAATCCAACCTTTATACATTTAAGAACCGTGGCGAGTACCTAAAAATCTGGGTTCCCTGGAAAAACTTTCAAAACGACACCACCAAAGCTCGATATTCTCCCAGAATTTCCTGTGTACGGAATCCTTTTTCTTAAATCAGCTAACAAGCTCCGAAATAAAGGTAATCCATCATGTTTATCGAACTCCTTCACTAAAGTCTCACTGTTCAGTCCATAGAGGTCCCTTGTATCATTACTATTCTGTACACGTACGTACCTAAATAGCACGGTGGGAATCCAAGCGTTTTCCTGAAACTTATACAACAGTGCAGCAAGGTTTAACCATCAGAATACAGGCAGGTATCTCAAGGTCTACTCTGTTACAAGTCGATATAGAATTGCGGAGTCATTGGCCAACAAGAGCTGTGTTTTGAATCAAGAACTCTTAAGTCACAAACCACAAAGGTGAAAGTCTAAGTGGTTCATCTGACTTTCACTCGGAGAAAAGGTCAGATCTATAGCTTCCTCAACCATTAATAATATTATTAAAGGCAATAACCCGTGGTCAATTAAATGAAAATTGTGCCCAGAACAAAATGAAGCCAAATT